CGAGCCTCACGTTCATGTGGGATGCACAGCGTATCGATCCACACCAAGACTGAATTGTCTCCACGCCGATTGCCTGCAAAATGCGCAAAGCGGGCAGCAGCAGTTTGCAGCGGCTTAAATGACCCTGCGTCGTACTGAGGGGTATATTCCTTGTCAGTCAGGAGGAGCCTTGCCCGCTCGTAAAGAAGGCCCAACTGGCATGTGGGCAGAGAGTTAGCATGCGGGTTCCCCAGTCCATCAGCCCATACATGGGATACAGCCACGTATCGCTTGGTGGTTCGCTTTTTCACGACATTAATCTCATAGCCCTGGTTGTCGAGCTCGTCCTTGCCACGAGGTGTGATCTGCACAAGAGGTATGCCTCCATCCAGGAGAACTTCATGTAACTTCTCAACGTCGGCGTGGAGGTGCTCACAGCTACAATCTTCCTGCAGGTGGCGAGTGACATAGAGGCTCTCATCGACGTTGTCTGCAACACATTCCGTTTTCTTACAACGCTCATGGGTCCTCTTGTTCCAGGCGGGCTTCGTCCGTAGAAGCTGCAGCAAATACGCCGGCGTGTCCACTTCAACGCCAATCTTGCGACACTTCTCCGCGTCCAGCGGGCACCATCCTCCCCTTACCATCTGCTCTGCCTCTCTGTCTCTGAGAAACAACCAGAGCTTGACGGTGCCCGGATCGGTCTGCGGCCCATCACGCTTCTCTGCGACGTTCCAGAGAGCTTGACAGACTAGCTGAATGGCAAAGCACATCTCAGCCCGTATGTACCGGTTATATCTTTGGAGGTGCTCGCAGACTCGTCTGACAATCGTGAAAGACCGCGTGCCTAGTCCATTTTTCTGCCACTCCTCGGTACTATTCACGTATCTTTCCAGATGTTTTGTTGTAATGTACTGATGTTGTCCTTCATCATCATTTTCACTTTCGCGTAGGAGAAAGCCACACTGATCTAGCTGATCGCCAAAAACGTAGTGGAGCATACCAAAATAGAGCCAGCACTCAATTGTAGGTTGGAACTCCCGAGGAATTTGGCCTGGAGAGAACTTCTGTGTCCCTGGCTCTGACTCCCACCCATGGCGCGTGGGATACTCATCCCAGTCGCCTCCGTCGTATAGCGGACCGTGATACTCAATTCGAATAGGCTTTGAAGGCTCGTCGGGCAAGAAGAGATGGTCTGCCATGGCGATTTCGTATCTCAGTTAGATGAGAGAAGAAAAAGCCATACTCGACCCCGCCTCAGCTGAGATAGCGCGCCGATTATAGTTAGCTGAAACACAAGTCACATGGCAATGACCATCTGACAACCAGAGGAGGACAAGACCCTAGTATGTGAAAGCGCCGCACTGCCGCTCCCATTTCCCGCCCCTGATTGGTCAAACCGGCTCGTCTATGTGCCTACCGTCAGTCAACTACCTTCACTTGGTGGCCCGGCCCCCATTCTTGGCTCTATTTGGAAGCCGAATTGTTGCTCGTGGGGGCTGACCCTGATAACAAAAATACATCGTGGCGACTGCCGCTGTCTGGTCTGGGCTTGACTATCCCTTCTCAAAGTACAATGAACATCCTGATTGCAGAAGAGGTGCAGAAGCGACGTTGCCAACCAGGGCTCGGGTCTTAATCTCAACACAAATCTCAACCTGTTCAGACAATAGCACACTGTTATTTCAACCTATGAAAGACCAGTATAACTTCTACTCTGACCCCTTGCCAGAAGTTCAAAGAGTTGTTGTTGGAGTCACCATATAAGATGCCACCTTAATGATCTTATCAATAGGGCCTTCATCCGTCAACTCATGGACACTTGAATATCTGGTCCTGCAATTGTCTGTGACAACGATAATGAGACACTCTCTAACTACGTTATCCAAGATGTTGAACGAGCCATCAATGCAGCGTGGACCTCTTATGGACATGATGAGAGGCAATACACAGAGGCTACCACATCTTGGACATCGGAAGTGAAGAACAGTGTGGAACAATCCACCCCCTTTACTGGAGAAATGGGAATGGCATGTACGCTCTACAAACATCTTCTCTAGGCCCAGTGCCAGTTGCAGTTATAATTATCAGGGGTATCTCTCCATCATTGTCAACTCCACAAAAGCCTCTAGGTGATGGACCACCACTTCCTTTGTTTGTTGGTGCCTTTCCGCACATGGTGATCTATGATGTTTCTTTGGAAATGTGCACCACACAGCAAGTGGCCCGACAATTGTGTGTTGTGCCTCATAATGTGTTTTACCAGCCCAATTTACCTACATCAATGGGCGCAGCCAATTCAGGTAACATATTAAAGGGTTGCAAACACCATGGGCTACCTAGCTAGCATGGACTCGGACCTAGCAACATCCTCATGGTTTCATAAAAGCGAAGTCATGGAGACTTTCTCTCACTTATCAATAATAGAAGCATTTAGGGACCTTTGGTCGGATCCACTCAATGAACATGTTCTGATTAAGAGCCAGGGGGCATGTTGGTGCTATAAACTACAGAGCCAACTACATCACCACATCCTTAGGTCCTACCTCAAGTGGATCAACAGATGGCCCCCATTCTTAATAATCTTTATGCACACATCCATGTTAAAGAGACATTCCTGAATCTGAATAGCATCCTGCAGTAGATACATCTTATCATCTTCTCCATAGATGTTAGTCAAGCACTGCATCCTTTTCCATCATTAAGTTTAGTGTAGGCTCTAAATTCTCAACGCCCAAGTGGCGTTGCACCAAGGTCGAGCGGAGCCAGGCGGAGGGCAATCATAGAGGCCATGGACATAGCGGTGATCATCACTTTGGAGAGCTCAAACCCTTTCTCTCAGAGATTAGCTTTGCTCATCTCTGTATAGGATTTATTCACGCCAAGATAGCGAGGGTATCCTCAGCTTAGTTCCAGAGAGTATAGACCTTGTGGCCAGCAGTGGTCTTTCTATAGCTGTTCAAGTTAATCCTAAGGAGGCTGACATTGGTTAACTATGGTGCTAGAAGCTGAAGAACTTCTTCCCACATGGTTAATAACATCCAGGAAGCATGTATGAAAAGAATTATAGGATTAGTATTTTGTAGGGGTATCTCTGTCAGCTAATAAAGGCTCTTGCTAGCAAATCTAGAGGGCATGATGGTTTTTATGTCATAATATCTATTCCTTAACTACAGTTGAAGATTATAGGGATGTCTAATGCATATATTTAAAGCGTGGAAGACTGATTGAATGGTTATCGTTATGTTTCCATTTAAGGCTGGTGTATAATGTTATGTGGCAATTGCTATGGGAGGATCTTGTGAAAACGATTATCAACTGGTAATGTAATATAAAAATGCTATACTTATGCTTTCCTGGCTTGTGCAGTCATGCTTTGAGCGAGCACTAGTATACTACGTCCCTCCATCGTCGAGCCTCCTCATGGACTGTAATCAGATCGTTGTATAACTCGCGGCAGCTACCACGGCTGCAATGCAGCGGTACAATAATTCAAAAAGTCAGGAAATACCACGCCATCAGACTTGACACTGGGTTAGCTTTCCTTCCTCCATTCCTGCCCAATAGCCTCCCACTCCTTTACTTCACTGTCTTATAACTCACCTGGGAAGAAGGTTCCTACCATGCTCTTCCCTAGCTTCTTATATCTTCTCTCTACTTTCATTAAAGTTTGCATAACTTTGGCTTGGCCCATAACACTGATGAATTTACGCAGAATACTACAGGCAGCTAGTCCCTGCTTCTAACCTGTAATGAAGATATTTTATAGCATTACTATACCCCTAGAGAAGTCACTATATCCCTATTAGTGTCATATCATTAGATTATAGCCCCCGCGCAATACTTACCTAACTATGCATTGGGCGATGAATAGGTCACAACCTCCCACTTTATAAAAATTCCTCCTTAGTTGATATCAATTGCCTTAGAGCACATAATTCCCTGGAAATTTCTATGGTTAATTATACTTGCAGATTCTCTAAAGGGGCTGAGCTTGTGGTGCTGTCATCTGGCATCGCCTCGCTGGAGAGACTCTTCGGCAGTAAAAGCCGGATAACATCTTCATAGTCGCCAAAGACATCGAGTCTCGCAACGGCAAAGATATAAATATGAATGGAGGCTGGCAAATTCCCTTTCACGATGACAGATGGAAAGCCTCGTACGGGCAGAGCGTGGGCTTGTCACTGAAGACCTGGACCACATAGCTCACTCGGCCATGATAAATCGCTTGCAATCAAACCATACGCTGCCCTCAGTGGCAATTCTCGCCCGATATTGCTGTATGTTGGAGACGGTGTGTCCGATCTATCCGCCGCATGGGAAACACAGACCCTCTTTGCGAAGAGCAGGATGGGTAAGTCGGCTATGCGATACGTGCACTCCACATATGAATTTCTTCGTGAGCCAAATGACATCGACATCAGTGTGGACAGCTGCACAAGCCCTCGTCCGATACTGTGAGCAACGTTGGGAGTCCGTTTGTGCCATTCAATGATTGGGCCTGCACCCTTGCCACCGTGCAGGAAGCCTACCAAAACGGATGCAGTAATGACGTTTAATACCTAACGTCCTCCCACCCACTAAGCTAGTGAAGAATAAAGGATATATCCCTGGTGGCCAGTCTAATACTAGCAGCTGGATCCTCTGTCTACCGAAGAAGCCGTACCGAACAATGCTAAATCATAAAGCCAGTGCCATCAGACGGCTGAAGCAGAGTTTGCTTCAATAGTAATGCGAACACAAGCAAGCCAATAAGCCATCAACGAATAAGACCCTACCCCAGAGACCCGGCCAGTATATCCAGTTGCCGTGTTCAATGTTTGCCATATGGGTCCAACAACCGGGGAATCGCGATTTTTGCGTACGTCATTTCCCGCAAGCAGCTCAAAAAGAAGCATGGGCAAACTCCCACTCCGCTCGCTCATATAAATGGTATTTACACTCCGCTCAATTCTTCACTTGTAGTTAGGTCTATTTGGTATGATCTTTCAACATCGGAATACAGTGAGACCGCGCTCGTCATGGCCTCTATGGACAAAGTCTTTTCGGGATATCATGCGCGCCAGAAGCTGCTTGAACGGAGCGACAATCCTTTCTCTAAGGGCATTGCCTATGTGGAAGGAAAGCTCGTCTTACCCAGCGACGCCAGAATACCGCTACTTGACGAAGGCTTCATGCACGGTGACCTAACTTATGATGTTACAACGGTTTGGGATGGACGCTTCTTTCGATTGGATGATCATATGCAACGGATCCTGGAAAGCTGCGATAAAATGCGGCTCAAGTTCCCACTTGCACCGAGCACGGTGAAAAATATCCTGGCTGAGATGGTCGCCAAGAGTGGTATTCGGGATGCGTTTGTGGAAGTTATCGTGACACGTGGTCTGACAGGTGTACGTGGTTCGAAGCCCGAGGATCTGTATAATAACAACATATACCTGCTTGTTCTCCCATACGTTTGGGTTATGGCGCCTGAGAACCAGCTCCTTGGTGGCAGTGCTATCATTACAAGGACAGTGCGACGAACACCCCCGGGTGCATTTGATCCTACGATCAAAAATCTACAGTGGGGTGACTTAACAAAGGGACTTTTTGAGGCAATGGACCGTGGCGCAACGTACCCATTTCTCACTGACGGAGACACCAACCTTACCGAAGGATCTGGATTTAACATTGTCTTGGTGAAGAACGGTATTATCTATACCCCTGATCGAGGTGTCTTGCGAGGGATCACACGTAAAAGTGTGATTGACGTTGCCCGAGCCAACAACATCGACATCCGCCTTGAGGTCGTACCAGTGGAGCAGGTTTATCACTCCGATGAAATCTTCATGTGCACAACAGCCGGTGGCATTATGCCTATAACGTTGCTTGATGGTCAACCAGTTAATGACGGCCAGGTTGGCCCGATCACAAAGAAGATATGGGATGGTTACTGGGAGATGCACTACAATCCGGCGTATAGTTTTCCGGTCGACTATGGCAGTGGCTAACGGGAGCGATGCGATCACTGGAATATCATGACTGGTTGCTTGTGGTTCTTGCTTGCGGGTCTTCATATTTTCTTACTATGCTTTGCTGCAGATAGCACATTCAAATTACCAAGTTAAATAAATGCCTAATGTGTCTTGTCCCTTGCATAGCTGAGATGCAGCTTCTGAGAATAGCTCACGTGCCCTGTCAAAAACACGATTTAGGCAAAGAGCGAATGCCAGTGCAAGTCAGGCCAACACTCGGCCCGATGCGTCCTTTCCAGAGTCGTCATGATTGTCGTATACTGCGCTGTTCATTGACCACCACCCGAGGGATACGTTACCATATGGTTGAGGGCCGGTAGCTACCCTGCATGGCCGTGTTGTGGTAGTATCTGACTTTAATTACAACTTCTTTTAGATATTAGGGCTAGAGTCAGGCGCCTCGCTAATTAATTTATTGAACAAAGGGTTAGGTTCGCGTGGAACATTAAATGACGCTCTGGCTGGGCACCCACTTGTTACCTTGGGTAATAATCTATCGAGTCTTGGTTATAGTTGGTTCATTAATCAAACCTCTGTAACTCTAGTGTCCATTCTTCGAAACCGTAGCACCAACTACGCTTGCTGGTATGGAATCTCGATCACGCCCTTTAGTATTCCATGGTCCAGCAATATCTAGATGAGAATATGACCATTACATTGAAATGATAAGAACAATCAGAGGTTGTTACATAGGTTTACGTTAACTTGACACTTGCGACTAGATTCATATCAGACAACGTCCTAATCCGGATACATCTACATCTTGTAGCATTTCCGTTACATCATACAGGGGATTTAGTTATGGTGGGAAGATGCGACATCGGACCGGTCCACCATGAGGGATGAATGCAGTCAGAAGACCACCCAGTTCTTAAACTTTGTTTTCGAAACTTCAGTCGGGGAACAACCTTAGTGTTTGGTTTTATGTCGATAGCTTTCAGTTGCAATAAAATATCACTAGGCTAAAAGGTGTCCAGCCGATGTACTCGTCATCGGATTAGAAGACCCACAGAACGGCGATCCAAGACCTCCAAATATCGGGTACAGATAGAAGGGACTGTATCTAGCTCGGTCCTCTCACGGATAAGGAAACATCAGAAGAATCATTAAGATGCAAAGAGAGGTCGACGCCCCGTGAGGTGTTCCATGTTATTGACCGCGGCATAAGTAGCCAAGCGTCATCGACTAGCTAGGAAGTTAACGGTAGATCCCAGGTCTTTGATCTATAGATATTGTACATGTTTCTGTACGTGGTAGTTATATGAAGTTTTGAAATGCTCTTTTCCACGAATCTTACGTTAAAGTGGCCTCCTACCTTGGACTGGCCGGGTCACCCTATTGGGCGACTCCAATAACTACATGGAAGGGTAGATTAGCAGTCTACAACCTGACGGCTGGTCAGATCCCAGGTGAGGTAATTGATTGATGATTAAACCCAATATGACCAATAATCCGTAACGAATGCCAGGAGCCAAGTTTTAACCTCAAGTACCTGCATACCATGAAACTGATTACTTGGCGGACTGCTTGGCAATATTCGTCAGTGCTTTGATCGATGGAGAAAAGAAATACTCCCCTCCCTTAGGGATAACGCAGCACTTCAAATCGACGTGGATATTGTCGTTCTGGCCGTCACATAATCCCATAACAAATGGGTCAGGCCCATTAGGCTGGCCACAGATGGGGTCGGCACCAGGTCCTGGAGGGCCGGTAATACTTCTCTTCAGCGGGGGGAAGGTGTTCTTGTTACACCATTCTGTCACAATTGTTAAATATCAAAGGGGCAATACAGTACATGGTATTGATGCTGTGGTGGGGTTGCTTACGCTCTTGAACTCGCCTGAATCCATTCGCAATGTTGCTTTGGTAGCACAGAAACAGCATTCCACGCTCCTTCTTTGTTGTCTGTTGATCGTGCTCTTCTTTAGTGACTTCATCCCCATAGGGTATGCCCCGACGCATCATGGAACTAGTATTCTTATCCTTGACATCTCCCCGGGGTCTGCACTTCCGGATATGCGCGGCGAAAGGACACTTTTCCTGATTATTGCCGGGTTGAAAGTCAAAGTTATTGCAGTCAGCGAGCGAGGGATCATCTTCGCATGGCGTAAGAAACATAGGGGCACCTGTCTCATGTAAGTTTTCGTCAGCATATACAGTAGGCTGAGGTACAAACCGCTCTTCCATCTGCCCATTAAGCGTGCTGAAAGCTGCTCAGTGGTCAGATGATGCTTAGGAGCCGTGTCATCCAGCCATCTAAGCCCTCGTCAGAAGGTTGCGGTGAGATATTCAGACTTCTACTTGCTTACTTGTTGAACTCAGGCACCAGCTGTTTCAACTTGCGGAAGACAAGGAAGCTACCGTCCGTCGCCCAATCCGGCTGACCAACAGGCTCTTGGTCGGCATTAGTTATAATATATCTAGAAGGAACTAATATTAGTACTGGTTTGTGCAAGTAGTTTTTCAGGAAATCGTGCCTACCCTGGCGGTACAAGTGGCGGCTCATATTTGCCCTTGGGAGCCGGGTCGAGCCCCTCCAGCTGGGGTTGGGAGATGAGGTCACGGTAACCAAAGCTGATAACGGTCAGATGCCCATTTCTTTTCAGTAAATCTACCGCTTCTCACTGTTCATTGCTGCTGTTGGGATCTGGTCGCACATGGCCATACTCTATGAAGAGCTCCTTGATGCTGGAAGTGAAACCAAAATATCCAACAAAGATATATTTCACCTTGCGCAGTTTTGCTCGTGCGGTCTGTTCAGAGCGGCCAGTGACAAGAATCACACCATCAATATACTGACCTTCGACTTCGGGCTTGAATTTTGCCTCCCAGTCGTCTGGATTATCCCGACCTTCACCCCCGGCAACTCCACCTTGCAAGTCTGCAAGCATACCTCCTAGGAAGTTGCCAGATCTCAATTTGTCCTTATCATCCTTAAAAAGCTAGGTAGCGGTATCAGATATGGTCCTCGAACCAGGAGAAGGGATGGCGGGGCTTACTTTTTTCAATCCTTTGGCGCTCAAGGCCAAGTTCACACCGGTGAGTGGAATCACTTCGGACTTTGCTTCTCCACTGGGCACCTCAGTCTTGTTCTGTCTGATCTGCTCATGGAATTTAACGGCATCATTCGCTGTGGTAATCAGTGGAATAAGGGTTTTCAGGTCTCTACGAAACCTCCTCTCAGAGGTAATATTGAAAAATAAAAAGAATTCATGAAGCTTCGGCACACCCGGCCTAAGAAATGTTACTATCGTTGGCCGGCCGGAAAGCTAGGCCAGGCGCAGACTCACCAGATGTTGCCTTGAATGTTGTCCTTATTAATATCGAGCTTATTGATTCTTTCAGAGGTCATGTTGTCAGACAATGTATTCTGGTCGAGCAGGCTGTAGCGTAAGTCCTAGATAGCTGGCGAGTGATATAGAGGAAAAGAACCTAATGAGCAATCGCAGATTTATGTACCACTGTCATCAGATTTTCTCCAATAATCCATAAATGCTAACGCCTGTTCCATGGTATCTAGTAGATGCAACAGCAAAAAAGCAAAGTCTAACAACCTTGCACGCGAAGATCTCTTTTACACAGAGTGAGATGTAAAGTATGCCGCTGTTGAAACTATAAGAGGTGTAAGCGTAATCGAGTTCGGTTTATCTCTATTGGTGGGGAATGTTACAGCAAGCAAAAAGAAGTGCAGCTAGCAAAGATGAGCTCTCAAATATTTGGTTCATGACCCTCTGAGATGAAACGGACACCGCCGGAAAAGTCTTGTATAAAGGTTGTTTGCGTTTGAATTTGAAAGAAAGTCATGACGCCTACTGCTTCATGAGCTCACACCTCTCACCCGTCCACCGCTCCCCAATGTAGCGTAGACCAGGCAGTCATCGCTTGAGAGCTTGAGAGCTACCTTATTAGAGTTTCGATGGGGCTAGAAGATGCTAGGGTACTCCGCCATAGTCGTGGCTTGAATCTGCTTCGGCTAGCCAAGGTGGAGTCATGATGGTACCCAGAAAATGATGCAGTATAAGAATAGAGAATACATTCACGGGAGCAGTAACAAACAAAACTCTCCATATAAACCCGATAGCTTTTGATTCTTCACAGTCTTTGTAAGGAGTGACTCGCAGACTTAAGTCTTGACTGTCCTCTCGTAAATGTCTCGCATTGCGTCAAGAATGGAATCCCAATCATCGAAGGGCACAAAAGGAATCCCTTTCAGTTTGCAGTACTTCATTAGATCTGAATTCAATGGTTAGTATCTTGTATAACAAGAAATACAAGCAGCATTTTCCTTCCATTGGATGTGGAGTCAAGGAGATTACTTGCCTAGACCTTCTTTGGCAAATAGGATGTTTGTTTCGGACGCAGCAGAGAGGTCTGACACTCCATCTCCTGCAAAAGCCACCACAGGACGTTCTCCGTCAGGCAGTGCAACACAATGCTTGATTTCTAGCGATTTGTCGTGGCCAAATATGCTATAGTGCTCGCTATGTCAATACACCTCGACGAGCAGTTTTCATCACTGGCCCACTTGCCTATCGTCGCGATATTTAATTTGCCATCCACCAACCATGTCGATATGTTTACCGTTGTGAGGGGCGACGTTGTTTGCAATGACAAATATATTGCTAGGCTTGCAAGCGAATAAGGAAACCAGTAATGCCTCTATCACAGGCGTCATTCCTGATGACAGAATCACAATTGGAATACTTTTCTCTTTTGCCCAGAGATAGAAGTTGACAAAACCGGGGTCGAGCTGGATATTTTCCTGCACGATACGAAGGCACTCGTTGAAGGGCATTCGCACGCTGTCAAGCATGGCCTGAAAAGCATCCCTGGCGGGGTCATTCTTCGGCTCACTATTGTAGGTCTTGGAATTTCTACGCGGGGCTAGCACGTACCTGAATGCCAAAGTTCCATTTAGGACTTCTAGCTCGAGCATCCGGCGTTTTTCAGCCCCGAAGCCGAAATTGTCGACCTGTGCAGATGGTCAGTTGTTGTGAACAATGGTTGGCATAGGTTATTACTAGGTAGTCATTGCCTAAACAACCTCTTAGTAATGGCTTCATAGAACATGAAGTTGTGAAAAGGGCGAGTATATAGCTTACAATCCTGCAAAGTAACAGTTCCGTCGAAATCAGTGAAGAAAATTGCTTTCGGACTACCATTCAAGTACTGGTGCCCTCCCTCCATTTGTAGGGAACTTTTCGGCATGTTTGGTCCTATGCTGCTTCAGAAGGAATGTGAAAATTGACATGTACTCGGGAGACGGCGCGGTGCATTTTTGATTTATTTATCCAGAGAGTGACTTCTTTGATTTGACCCATCCATTAGGAACCAGATACGTCTATTGAAACTGACGGTCGGCTATCCTTAAGAAAGGCAAACTTTCCATTTATTTTTTCCACTTCCATATGGCTTGTGGAGCAGATTCCGAAGGCTAGGTAACGTGGACCATCTTCAAACGCAGGGGACTAGCTGGTCGACCTGGTGACGCAAGAACCCCCAGCTGCTTAAGTCTAGACCGTCCTCACTGTTCAGCCTTGGAGGATTCGGAGCCGACATTGGATATAGAACAATGTGGGATAGAGTCTGTAGGGAGGGTGACAATCTTCGTAGGCTGTTGCGCACAGTCCGATGCTAAGTTATCGGACCACATTTGGTTACCACTTGCAATAGGTTACCGCTGCAACCAATTGCCGAAAGCCCGCAACGGGGCAGCTTGCTAAACGTTGTTCAGTTGAGGTCTGTTAGCCACATATTTGTCACATACCATGCACTGTTCATTACCCGCAGTGACAGGACCATGGCGGGTCTTAGAATGTATGACAGGCCCATTAGCCACAAATCATGTCCCATAATTGTTCCCTATTCCAAATTACACTTTCCCCATTTGACGGGCAGATACAATAGCTGAGGTCTAGCCATTTCAGACGCTGATCTGTTATGTGTCTGAGCTTGATATAATTGAGTGACATGGCTGTGGCCTTGTCTGGATGCAAACGGCCGATTGCATGCCCAATAAACTGTACCACCAGAACGTGGAAATATGACAAATATATTACTTCTTTCGGTAAATGTGCGCCCAGACAGATAAGCTGCATCCTATCTAGCGGATTGCACACAGTCTATGATGCGAGGAGACAGCCCATATCTACCACAGGATAACATTTGACGATAAGCCACCTTTGTGCACTCCACACGGCGAAAGCATGTCTTTAGCCTTTTAGTACAATGTAATAACTTATCGCCTTAGAGTTTAAGGTAGATGAACCACTGCAAGCATACTGTCTCAAGATGACGCCTTCAGTAAAATGTATTGCACATGTTACAGCGCAGTCCTTAGGTGTGTCGAGAACATGAAGTGTTACTTTCCTGCTGGCACTCTTATGAACATATCGCACTGAGGACCAGATAGGCATCATGATTTTAGCTTACAGATGGACGTCACTGTGAAGGCTACGACTTTGGATGGGACCAACGGGTCGCATAGGTGAACACTGTATTGCTTCTGACCCATGTTGGACGCGTTCGGTAGTCGGTTTGAAAGACAACCTACGACCTGTCCATCTCGCAGTCACGAAAGGACAAGAACACTATTTAACTGCGTAGGCCGTAAGATGGGGGACTGTTGTCACAATGGTTTGCCTCATCTATTAAATTCGAATGAACGTTCTATCGATATTATAAGCAGAATGGGTTCCGTTCCCGAGCCAGCTTACCTTTACAAAAATGTCGTCCACGACCCGACAGTACCTTCTGTTCAGTCTGCCAAGGGAATGTACATTCACCTTGACAATGGGCAGATAGTTCTCGACGCTACCTGCGGCGCGGCTGTCTCTGCTATCGGACACGGTGTAGAACGTGTAAAGCAAGCGATAATCTCGCAGCTTGACCAAGTCGAATACTCCCACCCTGGATTCTTTCCTAATGCACCAGCTATGCGGCTTGCAGATATGCTTGTAGAGTCTACAGGCGGGAAGATGTCTCGGGCGTGCATTCTGGGGTCCGGTAATGTCCTCCCTCAGTATTCCTTGCGTAAGAACTCATTTGGCGCCAGACTAACTACGTGGGTTCCATTTATTAGGTTCGGAGGCCGTCGATGCCGCAATGAAGCTTTCCCACCAGTACTTTGCAGAGGAAAACCCAGACACCCGACGAACCAAGTTCATCTCAAGACGCGGTTCTTGGCATGGCTGCACCTTGGGGTCTCTGTCCTTGGGAGACTTCAAGCCGAGGAAGGCCCGGTTCAAATCAATTCTACATCCCAATATCACCCACGTATCGGCATGCGACCCGTACCATGCTCTCAAAGCTAATGAAGATCTGGAGACGTATGTGGCTCGACTCAAGCAGGAGCTTGACGAGGAATTCCAGCGGCAGGGACCTGATACCGTCTGTGCCTTTTTCCTTGAGCCAGTGGCCGGAACAGTACGCGACTCTCTATTTCTTATTGGATTTGACAAACCCTGACCGCTATGAAATTTAGGCCCTAGGCTGTGTTGCCGCAGTACCTGGCTACCTGGAGGCCATGCGGGAAGTATGCGACCGCTACGGTGCACTTCTGGTCTTTGATGAGATCATGTGCGGCATGGGCCGCACCGGAGCCATGCACGCTTGGCAGGTGGACGGTGTCGTGCCTGACATCCAGCTTGTGGGCAAAGGTCTCGCAGCGGGATACGGAACCATATCTGCCCTCCTTATCAACGATCGTGTTGTTTCTGGGCTGAAACAAGGCGGAGGATACTTTGTTCATGGACAGACCTACCAATCCCACCCACTTGGTTGTGCGGCTGCAGTTGAGGTTCAGCGCATTGTCAAGGAGTATGATCTAGTCAACAACTGTCGGGAAATGGGTGAGTACCTCGGAATGCAACTGAAACTGCATCTCGGAGATCATCCACATGTGGGCGATATTCGAGGGAGAGGTCTTTTCTGGGCAGTAGAGTTTATGGAAGACAAGAATAGTAAGGCTCCGTTTGATAGTAAGCTTACCCTCAGCAAGCGCCTACAGACCAAGGGACTAGAAAAGGGCTACGGCATCTGTCTATTTGCAGCTACCGGTGCGGTAGATGGGTGGAACGGTGACCACTTCTTGCTTGCACCGCCATACACTGTTGGAAAGCAGGATGTGGACGAGATAGTGAGTCGGGTTGTTAAGGTTATTCATAGTGTTTTTGAGGATATCTATGCTTCGAGGCAGCAGCATCCTTATCTCTAAGGTCTTTGATTTCTGTCTTATTATCTGGGTTTATGACTACTTCGGGTTGGATTTGCTTTGTTGTATCTGCAAGAACATAGTAATAATAATCTCCTCATATTTGATGGTCCTCCTCCTGCCCTGGTAGACCGACATCCTTGGAAGTTGGATAGTCAAATACTACCGTGTCAGATAGCAGGTTATTGGAAATGCAAAAAGTCTTTAGGGTTCTGACCTTCCGTGGATCGGGCCACTATACCACACTCTTCCATTGTAGCCGTCGACTAGGGTAACGTTAACATAGTCCCGCATGCTTAGTAATTCGATGAGAGTTGGACGTCAGAAGCAATGGTTACGGATTGATACGCGCCGAGTTTTATGCCACAATTCTTACGGGCCTATTTCCTTCTCCATATTCCTTCCTTCCCTGTTCGACCCCCAGTCTGTTCCGTCTTTATCTTTGCTCAGTTGTACTCCTTTCTACTTCTCTAGATGCTCCGACGCTAGCTCTTAACTTACATCATCTCTCTGGAGAAGGTAAACGAAGAAAATGCTGGAAACAGGTTCTACAACGCCTCTATTATCAGCACGGTCTGAAAGTTACGTTGATTATCAGACTGTTATATCGCATCAAAGTCTTCCTGCTGGAGATGACTTGCGCAATACGGAATTGCAGCCAGAAAAGTGGAATGAGCCTCGGACGAATGTTTGGCGCATTTTAGCCACCTTCTACAGCTTTATCGTCGTTGGAGCAAATGATGGCGCATACGGTGTACGTCATGAGTCAACCATTTCCATATTTCGTGTGCTAATCGCGCGTCTGTATAGGCAATGATTCATTACGTATGTTTATCCCATAGATTTTCATCCCCGCGTGTATCGATGATGCAAAGTTGATTCCCTGCTTATACTGGCCTTCAGTTGGGAAAATATTATGATGCGGACTATACGACTGTTTCACTCGTGTTCCTTTCCCCGTTCATCGGGTACGCGATCGCTGCTCTTGGGAATAATTGGATACACCATCGTTTCGGCCAGCGCGGCATTGCATTAATCGGGGCAGGGTTGCACATAATCTCATACCTTGCGACTACCTCACACCCACCCTATCCTGTCCTAATTGCCGTATTTATCGTATCTGGGCTAGGGAACGGAATCGTGGATGCCTCCTGGAATGCATGGATTGGTGCCATGCATAACAGCAGCCAGTTGATGGGAATCTTGCACGCGTTCTACGGTCTAGGAGCAGCTCTGGCGCCGCTAATAGCAACATTCCTCATCACAGACAGAGGTTGGAAGTGGTACGAGTTTTACTATGCAATGGCCATTGCAGCAGGATTAGAATTCCTGACCTCGGTGGCAGCCTTCTGGTCTTCGACAGGGTCAGGATCTAAAGATCCAGATGCCTGTACTGACGGAACTCTGTCATCCGATAGCTCGGATAATCTTGCGTCCAGCGCACCACCTAGGAAACCCACCCTGGAGTCGTTAAGGATACCATCCACATGGGTAATAAGTCTCTTTCTTTTTATCTATGTCGGAGCCGAAGTGACTATTGGAGGATGGGTTTTCACCTTCCTAGTTGACCTCCGAAACGTGCCTTTGTCTACTGCAGGTTTTGTTAGCTTCAGCTACTGGGGTGGACTTACAGTTGGTCGTGTGTGCCTCGGCTTCCTCACTCCATTCTTCAACAAGCAGCGCCTGGCAGTCCTTCTTTACTTGGGTTGTTGTATTTTCTTACATCTTACATTCTGCGTCGTTGATGACCTCCGCTTGCTAGTCCTTTCGGTGACCTTGCTTGGTTTCTTCCTTGGCCCTCTCTATCCCGAAGCAGTTATTGCCCAAGCAAAGCTTCTGCCGAAGTCTCTCCATGTTGCGGCTGTCGGCTTTGCTTGCGCTTTGGGGAGTGCCGGGGGTTCAGTATTCCCTTTCATTACTGGCGCGATTGCGAAGGGTTATGGAATCAAAGTCCTTCAGCCCATTGTGCTTGTAATGCTAGTTCTTTGCTTAGTTTTATGGCTTGTACTGCCGGAGAAACATGAAGATGGCAGAAGGCAAGGATATCCAGCCTGAGGAGGAGCATCTCTACTTGCTTAACCTTGACTGTTCGGCTCTTTTGTATACATCCGTACTTCTTGATGGAAAAAGCTCGTCCTGTTTAAAGTTCAATAGTATCATATTAAACCAGACATTCAACCTTTTCGTTAGCGATTGTGTGCTCAAGACAATTTTCATCTGTCATGAAAACCTTTGTAAACTGCTCAATCACAATATAAGAACCTCTTCAAAGATCAAACCCCACTTTTGCACGTCAACGCTTCTGGTACTGGATTGCTGCCATAGGACTGATGGTACCAACTTCACATATTTACTTGTTTTCCTTCCAGAGAGTTAATGCAACCTAGGTCGGTCTCCCAAAGTTGGTGTCAACTCAGTGTTCTGCACTGTGGATAATCTCCCCTACTAGAAAATCTGACACGACGCAAGAGGAATGTTACTAACAACCTTCCACAGCCAATGCACCTATTCGTAAGTTTGCAATCGGATAAGCATGACTCACAGGCTCAGAGTCTACCATGGCTTACTACACTTTAGCTCCCTGAATTTCACTCGAACCTTGTACGGTACATCATAGGTCCCGGCCTCTTATCTGGCTGTCCCCCGGTATTGCTAGACGTAGAACCACCCAGCAGGTTCTACGACCTACGATAGACACCATACGATACAACCACCCAGCCTCGATATGATCCGTTCACTCAATGACTTACGCACCATGGCGACCTGGAGAAAGCATTGTCTGGCTAATGCTCGCAAGCCTACCTTACACTAGAATTAGAGTGACAGTCCCATCGCCAAAACAATTGCCTATGCCGAGGAGGATCCGTGCTCCTTGCGAGGGCGCGTGTTCTACTACAGGATGAGGGTTTCATGCATGGTGATCTCACTTATGATGAGTAGTCGGTGAGGGTGGGGCGATTCTTTCACCTTAATTACCGTATCATCATGCTATCAGGCTGCCATTGCGATAATGCAAGGCTGAAGCTGCCATTTTCAAGCGAGTAAGGTTTCAGTTATTATTCTGTCAAGAATGGTATCCGTGTGCCTTTATAGAGCTCATTATCCCCCCATGCGCCAATGGAATTAAGCTCCGGGTCCAAGTTTGGGCCTCTCGAGCAAGCGTATCGTTCGTTCGAAAGTCTGATGTGCACAACAGTGTGCGGTGCCATAGTCTTCAGACCTCCACAGCCGTCTGGCTGATGGCTGCGAAGTCGGCCTATCACTTGTAGACTCCGGGGATGATTACTGGACCATGTGTTACGACGATGCAAGCACTTTCTAGATCGATTACTGGCCATTAGCCAGCAAGCTGAATGACGGTGTACTCTCCTTCGCGAGGTACGTGCTTTCTAGGCCTTTTTATGTCTTCATATGTCTGCTCTCGTTGCAGTTACGACCGTGGCAATTCAATACTAAAGCAAAGAATAAAGTTATCACTAACACTAAAGCTCGCGCTCGATGAAGGCAGTAAGGTGGACAGATCGCCTCGACAATACCACCATGGCCCGTGATGAACCTGTGTAAGAGTTTTAATAGTTGAGATCGATTGATGCTACTTCCACACCAGGAATCGAGTCAGACACGGGAGAGAAAGGTGGCTTCAGTTATAAGCAGTGTCCGTGTATACACACCCACACCAAGGCGGTGACGCAGCGTATCGCACGGATATACAAAAATTGAACTTCTGTGAACCAATAATAGCTACGGCTGTACAGTTTGGTAGAGGGTTATCCAAGTCTCTTGACATAATGACCATAATCTTTGATGAGATATTTCCTCCTCGTGGACTTGTTCATATATCAAAGCTAGTCTTAGAGCACAACCCCTTCCTAAGTTTGCAATTCCAAATTCCAATCATACCGCAGGGTTACATCCCGCAAAACAACCTGACCTACAAGGCAGGTGCCATATTCAATTATATGGGCTCGTGACACCTGAGGTTGAAACGGTCGGACAGGACCATACAAGTATATCAATGATGAGGAGAGGATTAATATTCCGAGACCAAGTAATGTCGCCAGCGTTGTATGAGGTCGTTACGTCGGTACTGTTGTATACTGAGGCATACTGCTATACGGGGCTGGCTTTATAGTTATCCAGCCCACCTCTGCTGTAAGTACTCAGACGTAGACGACCGGGTTACTTATCGTCGTGAAATTTTTCCAGGGACTGGCGATCAGCATGGCCTGCCACAAGGCGTACCAATTCATCAGATCACAGTTCAACAACTACTGAGCATGGCAGTGCGATCATCTTGAGTTTCGGATTTTTTTTTTTTTTTTTTTTTTTTTTTTTTTGTTTACAACAGTGTGTTGGCACTGTTTAAGAACTTGGATGGCGTCTGCCTGGAGGGTGCGCCGTCCCAATGTGATATGCATGCACTCGGGAGGAAACGGAGAGCATGTAACGAGCAAGGACCCTGAATAAATTGTCATGTACAGTTTTCGGATCTGTTGCAGTGATGGCCAATGTCCTATGTTGCTCAACGTTTTCGAGAGCCTCCGGTACTCGTAGTGGCCATGTCATTCGCAATAGACTATCGTCGCTACGTTGTACTATTAGAAAGTATATAAATCTCGCTTGTCAAGGGGCACGAAGGTAGATGGAGAGTCGACCGTGAATGGACCCACTGCTTGTCCTCTCTATTATAGGAAAGAGTTGCAAGCACCCTCGACCATGGTGAATGGTGGCCGATGCTAGGTATTTGAAGGATAAACCATGATCAAAACTTCGAGGGAGCCATTCTGCTGATCGATTGGACATCCCACGCTGCTGCTTCTTCCGCAGTCTCATTGAATTTGTCAGACTCTGTTGTAGCATGCGATATTGTGGGGTTTATACGCACAATGGAAGGTCCTCCGTTCTTCAATCCCTGGAATCTCAACTGTTCTTTCAAGCTTACCGCGATATTTCGGTGACATTAGGAGGTGACATCAGGAGGTGACATTTTGAAGTGATTGCAA